GAACAAAATCAGTGCTAAAACACCACCATCCTTTTCTGAATGACTTCTAAAATTCACTCTGTATCTAAGTTTTAACTGTCACATAAGCTAGTCTAGAAGTTCTGGTTTTCTGCTGTGTAGGTTTCTCCAGAAGAACTCTTATATAAATCCCATAACTTGTGCTTTCTATCAGCTCATCTTTCTCCTATATCTGATTCAAGAATTTGGATATAGTTAGAACTTCCTTTTAATCTGTATTTGTCTCTCAACCCTACTATACAAGTTATATATATTTTTTCTTATGTCATGATATATATTTACAAAAGCAATTTTAACAACCTTCACTTTTTCCCCTTTGATTAGCTTAATGCACAATTTCTCCACCTCAGTACTATTGGCATTTTAGGACAGATAATTATTTGTTGTGAGGGGATGTTCTCTGTATTATAAGGTGCTTAGCAGCATCTTTTATGTCTATCCACCACATGCCAGCAGCACACTCTTACAATTGTGACAACCAAAAATGCCTCCAGACATTACCAAATGTTCTCTGAAGGAAAAATTATGCCCAGTTGAGAATCACTGGCTAAAACCTATAATAAAATTAAAAATGTAACAGCAACAACAACAACAAAAAGTGCTAGGAAATAATTCTCAATTTTAGTCAATTATAGTGTAAGATGATGACTGAAATTCACATTTGTTTGTTTTTGCCCTAAAGCATTGTTTTTTTCTTCTATGGGGAAAATATAAATATAGCTCCACACACTTATTAACAAAATAAGGAGAAGTACATGTGAAGAATTTTTTGTTACTGATATTTTCTTTGATGTTGAAAATATTGCATTTTTCCCTCAAATCATTGACCTTTTAAGTTTTAACCAGACAGCTCTGTCAATTAAATACACACACAAACACACACACACACACACATACACACATGAAATCTCTTTACCGAAAAGGTGTAAGTTTGCTGTTCTTCCCTGTCCACTGGTTGAAGTAAGGTGAGGTAGCGAGTGATACCAGTCTGCGTAACCGTGAAGACTGAAGTGTAATCATTCAGAAAAAGGCGAAGCTCTGGGTCTTTTGTCTTTGAAAAAAAAATGGCATTATTTAAAATGTTGAATAAATAATGCAGTTATCAGTTCATTACCTGGTAGTTACTTTTTGAAATTTATTGCAAAAATATATATAAATTTATTAAGAATTTCTAAAGAAAAGAGAGATTTAACTAAATACTTAATTCATAAATGAGCTGAAGTATCCAAAAAGATGGTGACTCATATTGTGGAATATAAAATACTAAAATATGTACTAGTATAATTAATGTGGAAAAAATGAAAAATAATAGAAAGAAGAAAATAAGCCAATTAAATATATTCTTACTGATTTATTGATATTAGTATTTTCCAGAACTTTAATGGGCTCGAAAAATAAGCAGTAAAAGCAAGAGAAAGAAATTGGAGTCCAGACTTTTAGCAATAAGATTTTATAATTACTTCATTTGTAGTAATAAACTGCACATATGCGTATTACTATCTTGTTCTCAATTATAATGCAAAATAGAAATAAAATTGGTTATGTATTATTCATTACCTATAAATATGATGCTTACCCTTCCTTATTTTAATGTTCTAAAGATTCTCCAAAGGGAAACATAATATTTATTTTAACTAAAATATTTCAGATGATTTGATTGAAAATGTGTGAATTAAGTACATGTGCCTGATAGAAAATTCTAGGGAAAAACAATAAATACTTAAAGAAAAGGGTATTTCAAAATTCAGGACTGAGAGATAATTAACATAGCATTGGAAACCCTTCACAAGTTCATTGCCACCTCTGAAAGATAAAACATTATTTTTGCAACTCAAAGAAAGAACAATGACATAAAGTGGGGAAACCTGATTGGTGTCTGTGTAGGGGGAAAGGAAGCCAAGTGGGGCAAAGACTATATCAGGAAGGCTAGGAAAAAGAGATGATAAGATATTTTTATAGAATATGGTACTATTTAAAGTATTATGCCTAGTATGATGTGAAATGTTATTTAATATTATAAAACACTTTTTTAAGTCTGGCATTAAGGGCTTAAAGCAGAGCAGAGGGTAGGAAATTGTTAAACATGTTTTCATTTGAAAAAATAGAACTCATGTTTTAAATTTCTATGTAAAATGTAAAAGTGGTAATGTATACTACTGTAATAAAAAGTGGACATGATTTCATACACAATATATTTTAATTTGCACATCTTTTAAAAGCTGTGATATGTGTATATTTCAAATAATTTTGAAATGAATGGTTTCATTTAAACCTAAAATGGATTATATATTCATAATATTCATTCTGTAGTAGCTTCTATGTCCATGATTTTGATTTAAGGTCACTGTGCTACATTTATCCTGAAACACTAAAATATTAATACTATAGATAATAACTTACATTGGTTTAGTTGTTTTTAAATGATCAAAGATATCAAAAGAAAGACCAAGAGGCTTTACAATCTGATATTTTCAAACAGGCACTTCAGTTGTTTTCATTTCAGTG